TTGGTTATGGCCGTAATATGGTCAAATTATTGGCCGACGTGTTATCAAAAATTATTTTAAAAGGATATAGTTATGTAGTTTGCAAGTAATAGCAAGATCTTAACAATATATTGAAATAAAAAAATGATTGCAACCTTAATGTCCTTAAAAATAACTTTGAATACCATCACTATGTTGCCCTTAGATGAAGTAAATATATAAATATTGTGTATATCGTTTAATATTAAATTTTTCTAATCTTTGTTATTAACAAAAACCGACCTTAGCAAATTAATTTATGTATATAACAATTGGTTTTTATTTTTGTTTTTTTTTTCAAACATTTTTGAACGGACTGTTTGGTCAATTTTTAGATTTTTATTAAAATATTTATTTTATTGCCTCCGAAATTTCGACTAGTGTCTATAGTCATCTTCAGGATAGTGAGGATTTTTTTAAGTTTTTGTTATTAATTTTCTTTTTTATTTTATTTTTAGTTTTATTTTTTTTTTGTTTTTACTTTTTTTTAGGTTTTTACTATTTTTTGTAATTTTTTTATTATTTTTTTTATTTTTTTTTTATTTTTTTTTTATTTTTTTTTTATTTTTTTTTTATTTTACTTGACATAGAAAGTCAACAGAAAAATCTAGTCTTCATAAAAAATACGTAATACTCAATCCCAATTATTCAATTATTAAACCTGAAAGATGGTGCCTTAACTGGGTATTGCTCGACGAGTATAAATATAGCGAGTATAAATGTCTATTTATACTCGCTATGTTTTTTTGATTGGATTTACGAATTTTCTTCTTATGATATAAATAAAAAATGTCAATGACTCGTTTAACATAGAAGTTCCACACGTCATCTAAGGTCCCAAACCTCAACATTCATACCAAATTAATAGACAACAAAAAAAGCTTAAACTATAAATTAATTTATTTTAAGACATTAAGGGACTGAGTTTCTTAATTTATCGATTAGGCAGGCTGTGTAGTATGGTTTTAAGCCCTGAACTTTCTTTTACCATTTTATTCTTTCAAATTACTCTGTTTGCTTTTCTGCGCCCACTTATGTCAGATAGAAATCAATATCCAAGCTAAGCTGTACTCGTGTGTTCTGCAGGTTTGTAAACAAAATTTGTAATTTCTAATTTTCCACAGTCATCAACACTAAAAAGAAACAATAAATAACAACAAAAACCTTACTTTTAAGCGCAAAACCTGAGAGCAACACCCACGCTGCTAATTGCATTTCAACTGTAAAAAATACGACTAAATTATAAGCAAAAACACAAAAAAAAATGTGTACACAAGGTTGTTTTTACAGTAAAGAAAAAACAACAACAAAAAACTAATCAGTAGACAAATAAAATAATAAAAAAAAATAAATGCAACGAAAACTCAATACGTGCCCTGGCAGTGTTTTGCCTTTTCCCACATTGCTTAGTCTTGTTAGTTTGTTTGTTCTGATTTGTTGGTGTGTTTGTGTTGTTGGTGTGTTTGTGTGTTTGTGTGTTTGTGTTTGTAGATCGCATTGTATTTCAGTCGTCGTTCACATTTCGTTCGGTGAATTTGTCGCTTGAAGCCTCTGAGTGCTTTTAGTGCAAAAAATTGATCAACCGGCAAAAATGCTACAAACATGCAATAATCATCACTAACAAAACAGTTTAATTGTTGTAGTCTACAACTTTGACTTACTTACAGGTTATTCAACTGTCACATTGACAACGATCGCTGTTTTTTAAGCATCAATAACATGTAGAAAAAAAAATAAAAAAAACGGAGATTTTTTAACATTAAAAAAAAAATACAGCAAATTAACTGAAAAGCTGCATGCTAATAAGAGCAGTATTGCAAATTATTTAATAATAAATAAAAAGTGTTATTTTAACGTTTTGAGCTGCCAGTCTAAAGTACCACCACCAACCGCAATTAATGAGTGAAGGAAGGAAGGAGACGTAACGTGACCGCACTCAATGTGCTCGCCGCCCACACGATTCTTATCTGAAAAAAATCATTAACTTTTCACTTTGCATTGTTGAGACACACGACTGCAAAGCAAATAAAAACAATTTATCACCAACAAATTTTAAATTAAAAAATAAATTATTTAATTATCAGCAGTTGAGTAAAATTACAAACTATGTGACTTTTTAACCTAAAAATGTGTTTAATTCCTTAATTGCTATTTAAATTATCAATAATTGTGATTCTATTTATAAAATAATTTAATTTTTAAGTATTGCAATATTATTTTTAAGTGTATTAAACAAATCTAAATTAGTGAAATCTACCTGTGAAATTTTTAAAAATAAAATACAAAAAAAACAAAATGCATGGCATAACTCACCTTTATCGGCAGCATGCTGTCGAAAAGCAATTAAGTTCGGATAGTTGGCAGAATAGTAGCGCCGCTGGTGGTCAGAATACGTTATACGGACGTAACATGTACCACCAACGCGACAGCACGAGTATGAGTATGCATAGCTCTGATTCTACTAATTCAGCTGCAGCTACCACAAATCGTATGCATAGCGTTGATTCCGGCAGTAGTTCCAGTTCGTCATCGAACTCTAAATCTCCAAATTGGTCTCAGGGTAAGTTAAAAATTTACTTTATTTACATATCCATAAAAAATAGTTCAAAACCATTAACGATAGATTTTTTATATATTTCTAACATTTGTCTGTGTTTAATTCTGAAAGCGTTTGAATTTAGTTTAATATTTTTCTGGCTTATATCACGGTTTTGATAAAAGATTTGAGTGAAATTTACATTCACTTAAATTTTTAGTTATTAGGTTCTTCCCGTCAGAGGGCCTACAAACAGACCCACGTGCTACAACAACAATAGTCAAAAAGTAGATCCGATTTAAAGTTGAAATGTTACTATATCACTATATTATTTAAAAAAGTTAAAATTGTTATTAAAATGATTAATATTTTTCTTATTTTCTCTTATTACTGTCCTTGGTAGACCAGTGATTTCATTACTAATGTGCTGACGCAATCCGAGCTGATGCAATAGCTCTTCAACCATATGCACTCATTTTATTAACGTCTCCTACTGTATCATCGATCCTTTTGTTTTCCACATTTTACTTTTTGTAGTTAATTAACATTTATTAATAAATTTTTCTTAACAAATACACAATGAAACTCCTCTTTCTTGAGTACTGCAAAAAGAGAATATTTTTTATATTTTTTTTCCTCCTGTTTTAAATAAAATACCAAAAACTTACGCTAAATATAGCTTAACTTTTTTCGGTTTAAGGCTTTCAGCTGTTTGTAACTTCATTTAGTATTAAACATTTTTTGAAGTTTTATATATAAAATATATAAATATATATATTTATATGTATATATAATATATATTGCATATATTTTTTGGAAATTCTTCCCATCATAAACAATCACCACCCGGTCTAACTTCACAACTGCTCCTGACAATATCGCCACAACACACTAATTGATTTTAGTAAATTACCTTTAATTGCAATACTTGTGTGGAATCCGCAAGGTATTATCACGACATGAGGACCAATTATGGTGCCTAACTATTTTCAACAACACCAAAAATCTTAATTCGACAGCAACGGACTGCTATATTTTCAGAATTTATTAGGAACAAATATGTTAGCTACAGTTTATCACATGTTAAAAATGTGTATTTTAGCTTAAAATCCCTTAGCTTTCATACTGAGATTTTAATATAATCTACTTTTTCATTCATTATCATTTTTTTAAATCAAACTTATCTCTATTTTTTATTTCTGTTGTAAAACTAATTTTTAATTTTTATACAGATAAAGTGTTGGACAAACTTGTGCAAGCATCCAGTCCACAGCCAGTACCAGATTCTTATAAATCTATATCGAATCATTATCGAAACTCTCCAACGAATACTGGTTTTGTACGTAATTCTTATGACAGCCATGGTAGTAGTTTTAAACGCACACCATCATCTAAACGTAATTTTTTCGATAGATCTCATAGTCCTGCATTATATGGTGTAAGTAAATCTATTTTTTTTACAGCTATAAACCATTTTAATTATATATTTTTTTTTTTTGCAGAGTGTACGTCGTTCTAATGCTGACCACTTTGGTTCGCCACCCATACAGACCGGTTTCTTTCCACATGATCTCGATGACATCTATGAAAGTCAAGGTGATCATCAATATTTTACACATACTGGCGCTTCCAGCTCACGTTCGCAAGAACGTCCAACAATAAATTCTATTTTTCATCGCGTTAATGCTGCTTGCATTTCGCTGGACGATTATAATTCACAGCCGACGAGACATTCAGTGGATGGCGGTGGTTTTATGCGCCATCGTTTCGATAATAGTAGTTTTGCAAAGAGCCTAAGTGTAAATGATGAAAATTATGAAAGTTCCTCTCCTCGTGAGAATAAAAAATCAAAAGATAAGGATCATCATCATCACCATCACCATTCAATACAGGAGATGCTTAAACACTTTGGGAAAAAGGTTCATATTTGGCCTAGAAAGCATCATGATGCTAGTAGTGTATGCACCTCCCCACAAAATGATCCACAGGAAAATTTTCGCACCAGATCGAAAAGTTTGGATGTTAACACTTTAAGTCGCGCAAATCATCGAATTTTAGAAGATTGTGGTGCTACGTACAAAATTTTTGATAAAATTGTTAAAGAAGGTATATTTACTATTAGATGGTTGTACCATACAATGGTGTCACTTCCAACTATAGTTTATTTTTTTTGTATGTACATAATTTTATCAATTATGCAAACATTCAATACTAGTATTTCTATGATAAATATTCCTTGCGTGCTACAGGACAATAAAATGTATACTATGTTTAGTCCTTAACTTATTTTGTTATTTTTTCTTCCTTATACTGTTGGTACTTGCTGTAATATTTTATCTATAAGTATTTTTATTATTTAATGTATAAAGCCTAAGTACCGTAATCAATTAATTTTAATTAATTTTATTTTTTCTTCCTTTTATTACTTGACAATGCGAAACAAAAGGTGCTCATATGCGACGTGCCTCTGCTGATTTAGAAAAACGTCGTGCTTCTATTGGTACCGCTGGTCGAGGCTTACGTGGTGATGGTACTTTAGATCCATATCATGCTGCAATACTATTTAGAGACTCAAGAGGGGTAAGTCAGATTACTTATTGCATTGTGTATAAAATTAATATGTATGGAGTGAAGTCATATCAAATAAAATATGTTTCATTTGTACAATATAATAAACAATATATAAATTGATAAAGAAATAATAGTTTGAAACTTTAATATAAAATGAAATAATTTTTATTTTATTTTTGTAATGAATGTATATCTGATAACAATGAATACACTGCAGCAAATAAATAATAATTATAAAAATTCCTTTGTTTTTATTTAAAATTCAATTTTATAAATTATCAATCAATTAAAATTTAAGATTGCTAAATAATTCAAATTTGTAAAAATTAGTACGTGACAAAGAATAAATCTTATATTGAGGGTTCAATCATTTTCACATAATTTACAATTTACTTTACAAATCTATAAATTTATTTACTTAATTATTTATTATCAGTGTATGTAATGTATATGTAAATTTATTTCTTTACCTAAAATTTATTAAAAATATAAGAATATAACATAATAAACAATAATTTTTTATGATTATTTTACAAATGGACTGATGTCATCACTGCCTATCAGTTTTAACCAAATATTGTCTTGATCTGCTTAGATATACGCGAAATCTATATTATAAAATTTCCTTCGATTAGTTTAAAATATAGGCAGTAGTCTATTAACAGAAAAATTTACTCTTTCGTATCACTAATACGTTTTGTCATGCTATTTAGTAATACCTATGGTTTGTATAATTTAACCGTGAATGACTACATCGGTTCGCAGTAGTGAGAGGTATTTAAAATTTACCTTAAAAAAGTATATATTTTTCGCAAAGATATTAATTGATTATATTATCTTCTTATTATAATTATTTTAATATTATTATTATTTTAAAGATAGACACAAAATTTGTACTATGAATGTAATATGCAAAAGCTTTTTCGGTAAGCTTTTTTCAAGCTTTTTCAAACATAAATATCACCAAAAGATGGCGTATAATCATGTCAAAAGCTCGTATTGATGACAAAAATGTTAATTGTTTTTGTTTTAAAAATTATATTTTTCTGTTGAGAAGTAAATCATTTTTTCCCTTATATATTATATTAATATAATATACTTATTTATTTAATTGTTTCTAAAGTTAAATTCTTTTTGAAAAATCCTATGCTCTCCTCTCTACAGAACCAAAATTAATTAATTAAAACAATAAACCTTTTTATATACTAATAACAAATAGAAATCCGATTTTATTTCGTATACATATACCTAAAGTTTATAAAAATACAAGATCGGATTTATAATTGCAACCTTTAAAAAAAAATTAACACTTTACACCGACATCTTCAAACCAAACTTGGCTTGGGACTTATATATGCTTGTCAAAATTTAGTTCCACACAATACGTTTTATTTTTGTCTTTTCAAAAATATTAGTTATTTTTGAGTTTATCGTTTTTAAGGCAAAAAATATAATTATTTTGACGTTTAAAATTAAAATATAGAACGTACAAGTTAATTGTGCTTGAAAAAGTAAAACGGAAATAATAATAGTTATTTTTATAAAATATAATATGAAACAGATTTAATTGTTATTTTTTGAGTTTTATTTTTAAAGACGAATGTTAAGACTTAGCAGTTAAATTTTTTTTAATTTAGTAACTGTTACGGTTTCTAATTAATATTGAAGGATGACGAGATAACAATTAAAAGATTAATCTCTTGGCTTTCCACTCTCATTTTTATATGAATTTATTTATTCAACGGAATAAATCGGCCCTACCCATTTATTTTTTGTCAATTTAGTTATTTAAATGTTATTAGTATTTTTTTAATTTCTTAACTTTATTCTACCCGTTCAACAGAATAAACAAGCCCCGTCCATTCATTTTTTGTCAATTTATTTATTTAAATGTTATTATTATTTTATAATTCTTTAACTTGCTCCCACGAGTCTAACAGGACGCGCTACTTTCATTTTTTTGTCAATTAGACAAAAATTATAATTAATCTGTACTGCTGTATTTTCTTTCTAATAAAGGTATTAAATTGAAATATGTTGTGATAAATATTTATAATCTTATCGAATTTACTTCAGATCAGTTAAAGTTATGGTTCACATCAGTTAAAGTTAAAGTTCAGATCAGTTAAAAGTTTCAATGATCCACAAATAAAAAATATTTAAAATTAGATTTCATATAATTCATTTGCAAATATTCATCCAAAATACAATATTTTATCACCCTGTATAATTTTAAATTTAACCACATATAAAAAGCAATAACTGATAAATGCCATTGTAAAAGAATAAAATAAAAACAAAACAATTAAACAATTAATGATCACAATGGGTGGGGGTAAAACTTGTACAGAAATCAACAACAACAACAAAGAAGAAGTGCAAATATATCAAAAAATAAATATTTATTTTAGATACCCCACAAGAGTACACGATACAAGAGTAATTATATATTAAATTAAAATATATGCGATTAATTTGTGGTAGCAGCTACAAACACATACATAATATAAGTCCATATAATTAAAATCACAATTGATATAAATAATTTGGTCTTATCAATTTCAATTTCACATATATCAAATATTTGAAATCATTTGTATATATTTGTTTCACTTAGTAAGACGTCTAAATTAATTTGATGTGTCATCCAGACTTAGTATTTTCTTAAAAGTTAATAGAATAGAGCAATAGAGCAAATCGCCTCATGATAATTTTTTTCTTTTTTTTTTGTAATACTCTCCGCATACTGAAATATTGACTGATATGGGTCTCTGAACATCAAGCTTAGCACAAATGCATTTCACGCAAATTGCAATATTCTGTACCAATTCAGGCTTACTTACTCACTCTTCGATAGTTAAAAAAAAAACAAACAGAAAAATAAACTAAAAGATACATAAAAAGATATCTGAGTTTACCTAAATTAAAAATACCGGTTTTTTGTTGTTGTTTTGCAATCTACAGCGGTCGTTTTAAACGCTTTCGCTCTCTACGATTGTTATGGGTACGTGAGTGTATGTTCGGTGCGTGCCGGACGTTGCTCTGTTGGAAATTATTTACCAGTTTTATTTCACTACTGCCGTAGTAAAGACGTACATTGGTTTTCGAGTGTGGAAAAGTATTATTGCAAAAGAATTGAAAGTAATTTATAGTATATAAAATTTTATTATTTTTTATTTTGTTTCGAGAACCGACCTCTTAACCCAGAAAGTGACATAAAAATGTTTCGTCGGTATTCACTTTTTGATTCGACTCCACCGCGTGTTTCGGTACTCTCAACAACAAATAGCCGAAACCCAACTCCGCCTGACATATTAATAAATGAAAAACCCATAGAACCTTTGTCGTCATTGTCAGCTCAACAACAAAGAAAATTTCGTTCACTTAGTAATTCCCCAATCAATCGAAAAAAGAAATTTCACAATTTACCCGCAGTATTGTTGGAAAATGCTGAAATTAATTATAGAAAAGAATTAGAAAAACGAGACAATACCGATGGATCACGACACTCGCATCACGTAAGCCGTCGCGATATTTTAACAAAAAATAGTTATAGCAATAGTTTAGGTACAACTCGTTACAATCGTTTAACACCGACAAGTGAACAAAAACAAATTCCGTCAAAACAACTGCAGCACATTGTCTATGATTCGCGCTCCGTATCGCCACCGCGTGAAAGAGGTCTCATCCACAGTTGTTTACTAGTGCGGCGTCGTAGTGATTTCGGTTGTAATGGTGAACGATATCATCCATTATATGCGAACCCCAAAGTAAGTGAAGCGTATAAAAGATATTTCTACTCTTTTACTCTATTCGGTTTCTTGTACTTCTTATCCAATTTCGTGCTCATTTGCAAATTCGTTGCTAGGTTATTATCTATGATTATCAACTGATTTTGAATTAAAAAAAAATTTTCTTTTGTTTAATGTAATTTAGGAAAGTAAAATATATACATTATATACAGTGATGTAGCCTGGGGGAAAAGTTTCTAAATTCTAGAAAACTAAAAGTATTTAATACCTATTTTCTCCTAAAGCATTTTATTTATAGGGATTATAGGAATATTTAATGAGTATATCTTCGTAGTTGACAAAGTCTTCAATGAAGACTTAATAAAAACTGCCATAATTTCCAGTAAAAGTGTAAAAGTTTGTTTAAATCATATTGTTATTTGAAATATCTAGTGATATCATCAGTTTCAAAAATAAGTAAAAATTAAAACAGAAGTGTTTCAAATAATTTGAACCATAAAAACTTAATTTTTTGTTTTGAAGACCAATCTCCTGAACACTAAGAGAAATAATGTAAAATACTAATAGCTTAATAAGTTAGAAAAAAGTTTTTCTTATAAGTTTTTATTCTAAGAAACACTTAATTATAAATTATGTATTGGATTGGATTATGTATTAGTATTATATATATAAATGTTGCCAACCATATAAATAAGAATGACAATTCATTTTTTATAATGAAAACCAAAACTGTATCATAATAAAGATTTTGTGAAAACACAGACATAATAATAAGTATACATATAAATTATATATACTTATTATCCAATACATTAGATCCCACCGTCCACCAAAGCCTCTCTATTACGCTAGGTCAATAAATTTTTTTCATTCATGCTAATCAATCTTCTTTTTAAATAACATTTTTTCATAATGCTAAATATTGATATAGCGAAAAAATGTATTTCAGCTATGTTATTTAATAAGAGTTTATAAAGCTGGCGTTAAGAAATCTTAATGAACCCAATATTTTATGTAGTATTTCTTTAAAAAAAATTAAATAAATTACATATTCTTTAGAGCCTGTATTTTACTTCCATATCCGAGAACTGCTGCTAGAGAGAAATAAACAATAATAATGTCAAGGCGTAAAGAGTGTTTTTAAAGATACCTTACAGTTAATAGAGAGTAAAAGTGCTCAAGTGCACTGACTCAACTGGCTTCAACATAATATATATTTAACAGTTCTAGCTTGATATATATATACGTATACCATGCTCTTGAAACATACTTGGTATAATTTTTATTAAAATATTAGTGCCCATGATTGATAGTCCCTAAAACAGTTTTTGTTTTTTCTTCGCTAAAAGTTCTTTAAAAATTCAAGTATATAATAGAAATAGATTTCATTCCTTTTAAGCAAAATCTTAGTTACGCTACTGCACTGACACTAAAGGTAGTTTGCTGTTATCATGTAAACAAAATCATGTATGAGAGACCGTGTTTATCATGTGCTGTGTTTTTGATAAACAAGTTGTATTACCGTTTGAAATGTAGAGCAAAGTAATTTTATTATTAAATTAGAACTGCATTACATATTGTGTTAATTTTTCTAGCATTTACACATATTATACAATAGAGTGTGTTAATAAAAAAAACTCGTTTAATATGTTCAAGTTTATTTTTTTTTGCTAATGTTCTTGAAATAAAAATACGTAAATAGTTTGTTTTGGTACTGTCTAAGCATTAATTCCCTTCACACAAATAGTTAATAACTATTTACATACTACAATATTATTATCTATATACGTATTTAGGTATATGCGATACGCTTTTTTGCTAGCTACATTGAATGTGCTCTATATATTATTATATTCTAATTATAGTAGACAATGATTCATCACGACCTTTGAAATATATTGTATCTTTTGATTCAAGACTCCAGATCTCATTCGACTCAGGGAGAACCGCATGAAGATGCTGTATAATTGTAAAAATTAAGTAAATAATATGGGCAGATATTTTATTTTGCATTTTACAAAATTTGCAGGTAGCAATACCTTTCTTTGAAAATAGGAACGTCTATCGATTTATCTACCTAAAATCGAAAACTGAAAGACTGATTGGCCTTCAAACAGACAGACATGGCTAAATAAAACTTGTTTTAACATAATTGATGATAATAAATATGCTATTCGAAGTCTCATTCACGGAGTCTATACACTGTAGACTCCGTAAAACTTAATATATTGTATGCTACCTGTTATTCACAATACTTTAAATAATACAAATGTATCAGTTAAGCACATGGAAAAAAATTATATATAATTTTTGCAAAAATTTAATAAATATGACTAGGCGTAAACTTCTAGATCTTAAACAGTTTGATTAAATAACTATTGCGCATTATGCCGATATATAAAAGGAAATCAGAATGAAAACTTAAAACATATTAAATCCATTACATACATATCCAGTAAACCAGAGTAGAAGTACTCGTCAGTAGCGAGGCGTCAGCTTTTTGGCAAGGTGTTCACAATTTAATCAAAACAGAATTCCAACTATAACGTATTCCCCCTACTTCTAAGTTTTGTCCTTTCCACAAGCAAATAGCGTACAAGACCAACAAAACAATTTATTTAAATGTTCGCAGCCTGTGATCCACTGGTTTTTATTTACCATAAAGCTGTAGCTGTTGGAAAACGACGACTTACCATAGATTTCGACATTTTTACAACAGGTATCAAATTCTTCATATCTGGAGTTGGTTTATTCATTTCATGAATTAAAATCTTTTTTTCAGAAGATCGTTTAAAAAAAGACATTGAATCAAATTTTTAATCACACATTTATCCATTTCTAAATATTATTTTTCACTTCAAATTTCTTTAATTTCTTTCTTTACTTTTACCATTTGCTAGTATAAAATTGCAATAATGACTTTGTTTTGATTTATTTCCACCCTCTATATAAGAGTAAGAAACTCTCATTTACTCTTCATTTACTCTTTTACTTTGTATTTACAATGCCCGGTTCAGTTTTTATACTGAACCATTTCCCCATATAAAACAGCAACCGTGACTTTGATTGTATTTGCATGCTTTGTATAAACTTTTGGTTCAGTTTAGCGGAATGATCCTCTCGTCAAATGTAAAGCGATTTTCGCTCAGTCATTTCTTTTCTCTTTTGTATTTACTTTGCATAACATTGGAAGTGCACTTTTTTTATTGTTATTATTATTTTGTTTTTGTTTTCTCTTTTATTTTTATATTTCTTTGTATGTTTTGTGTTGTGTATTCAATATTGAACATAGTCCCAATGTGAATGTTATTTCATTTGCATGCTTTTTAAGCGACGCAGTGCAGTTTTTATTCTGAACCTTAGTATATTTCAAGAGGAATGTTATTTCTCTTTTATTAATTATAAGCAATGTTGGGTGTATCTAACATATGTGTGATTTTGTTTGTATTTTACGTTGTGTTTATGTTAATCTGTTTGGAAAAGCTATTATAAAAAATGTTAAGTAGCAATATAGCGAGATTATTTACCTAATAAAAAAAAATCTAAAAAGGAAGCTTTGTTAAGGTGTTCAGTGAACACTCTGAACCATTCGACGCCTCGCCTCTGGTACTCGTGTAGGTTAGACTTCTGTTCAAGTTATTATGATTATTCTAGGGATTGACTTAAGTTTATTGGCTGTAGTAAGAGTCAAGAGTCATCCAAACTCATTATACCTAAGTCTAATGTCTGTACGCAGTATTTTATTTAAATAGCTTGATTAATTAAATTCATATTGGCCCAAGTTGCGCTCAAATATCGTCATGCTATTTATCTTTCCCATTTTGTATTAATTGGTCTATACAGAAAGATTTGAACTTTGAACTGAAAAAAACTTTCTTCTTTCAACTGTCCATTGAATTGCAATAGTGCAATACATAGTACAAATTCTAAATATTTTCAATTATAAATATTTTGTAGCGGAAAATGTATTTATTGAATTGGTGATTTATTGTTTTACTTAATTAAACTTCAACAATCAATTGAACAATTTATATTAGAATAAAATAAGAATAACTTCCATTAATTGTACGATAAATTTAATAAAGTAGTTGCTCGTAATTTTCTATAAAAATTACGCAGAATTATTTTCCATAGTACTCAAGAATACGAACTACTTCACACATGTTAATTTATTTCAATATATTTTATCTAAACTTCTTGAAGTCGTCAACCCAACCTGACCTACATATTACTTGATTTGAAATTAAACCAATTCGTAAACAAGAATTAAAAAATTAAAGACCGTTTGTTCTTTCGTTAAATTATTACATTTTTATACGAAAATACGAGTAAATTAATATTAAGTTTTAATATTAATTAAGAGTACGAAATATTAAGTTATATGTATTATACCATATGTATAATAAAGTTTGTGCAGAGGGAGTAACAGTGTTTAGAAAATAATTTTTTATTTCAAGAATTGATATAAGACCCATTTCAAACATCTTATATATAAAACAATTTCAAATAATTATAGCCTAAAGCATATCTAACATGTTAATTATATAACAGATGATCTGATACTTAGTATCGCCTTCGTAAACTATATCAATTATGCTTTAGATATTTACAATTTAATACTTGTAAATTTATGACACCAAATTAAGTAGTAAAATAAAACTACTCCCACTAAGACTCAAAAAATATCTGACAGTGTTCATAAACTCATTCAGAACTAGAAAACTATAGGAAACTCCCTTATATAGACCATTGCTTAATAATCTGACCCTCGCAGTGACTTGAATTTCTAATTGATGATTTTGCGCCCTCCGCTAAAAGAAAAATGGAGAGATAAGGCAATTAAGTTTTCACCTACGTATTATGCAGATGCGAAATGGTAGCAAAAATCAGTGTTACAATTCTTTGGAAGACCCTTTCGAGGACCGCAAAAACTCTCAGAAACTGATATCGGAAGTCTCATAAATTGCTAAAAGAAATCAGGAAAACACGTATCATATAAACCCTTTGAACATATGAAAACTGTATTATTGAGAGTGAAGGGCATTTGACGGAACACAGGCAAAAGACCTTAAGGCAAGCAATTTAATTATAAGCGGATTACGTGTAGTCTGTTAAAGGCTTATCATTTATCTAACCACTTTTATGTACTATTTTTATACAAACAAATAGCCTTATCTCTTATTTTTATTTATCTGACTCCAACCGAACAGGATTTTCGAATTATATTTACATCCATTTTATTTGAGCATCGTATATAGCAGTTCGGAAAGTATTGATAAGATTCTACTACTACCAACAATGATTTTTATAACTATATTTAAAACCACTATTAAGATTGCTCAAATTAATAATTTTTATATGACCGAGTAAAGAAATATTTTGTCAAACGTATTATTTAACAATATTTGACACTGAATGTGCGAAATCTAAATTTATCTACATATATTTATATTTTATTTATTGCATTTATATTGTATACAAATACATGTATTTAACACTTAAATCTAAAGGTTCATTAGTTTTGTGTATAGCAGTTTTAAAATATCTTTTTAAAAATTTATCATTTATCTATTTCAGTTGCCAGTCGCGGATCCGTTCCTAGAGAAAGTTAATTTATCAGATTTAGGTAAGTCAAAAAAATCTTTATAAAATTAAAATGAAATGTGTCCAACAAGTGAAAAATTATTAAAATATTTGAAAAGTTATTTATAACTCTAGATATACATAATTATTAAAATGAAAATGAGGAATATTTAAAATTTCCATTGGCAAGCTGTCAAATATTGTACTATGTGCGGCACACTTTTAACAAACCTGAATCTAATGAAAGGAATAAATTGTGTTTAAAAACTTGAAGATGTCATTAAATATTTGATTCGTGCGCCAGCACCAACCAATACATGCTCATTATTGATCTCAAGATCATGTATTAACCGCGAATATATTGAACAGATTGGAACATTCTTGAAATCAATGCGATACCTACTCGATATACCTACTCGATTATAATCGGTATATTGGACCTTAGCTATAATAGTATCTAATATTTCTAGTAATACTATAAGAAAAAGTTCATACTTAATAGTACTTTTAGTTGCATATAGATTCTGTGTACCCACTGTTTAAAGTAACATCGAACTAATATTTTCAAATACAATAAACTTAAGAAATATATATATTTAATTATATAATCATTATTAATTAATTATGTAATTATTATTAATTATAGATATATAGTTTCAGTTTCTTGCAAGTTGTAGTTTTCATAGACTAGAATGATTTTGTTAAATAAGATAATGACAAATGTTAAAATGGCAGTCAAAATTCTTAATTGATTTTCGCTTAGTGCCAACTTAAGCATTTACAGCGTTGAATGTAGTCACGTTGAATTTGTATTCGGAATTATCTTAAAAATAATTTGTTATATTAAAGTAAAATTCTTTTGGTTTTTTCTTGTATGTTCAAAAATGGTATGCTAGACTCTCATAACGTAGAATAGTTCAATATCCAGAAGTGATCTAAGAGCTCTAACAAGTTCATATATAGTATAGTTAATATATATAATAGTATAGATAATAGATAATAATGTATAATACTATATATAATGTAATATTTGTATTTAATGTAATAAATATAGTGCACAAATCTCTTCAACTGGTTTGGATCTCATTATTGTCAAACTCATTGTCTTAATTACGACCTAATTATTAAATAGTTGAAAGGGACTATTCATACAAGAGCTTAATTTATGTAGGAACATAAAGAAATCCTTATGGTATTCCCTTGACATTAAATACTACGATATCTGGATACTATGGTAACCTATAGTATTCTACACTATGGTAGAGAATACTATGTTCAGTGGCGTAACTACATTTTTTAGGCCTGTAAGCAAATTCTAACTAAGGGGCCCCTACCAACATACTAAGGGGCCCCTCTTTTTATACTCTTTACACGAAAAAATGTGAAAAGGATATATAAGGTTTGTCAAGATTTTCGTAACGCATTGAAGGAAACGTCGGAAATACCATTAAGTATATATCAGTACAATATATATATACTTTTTCAGTTCAAACTACTCTCTCAGCTTTTGAACTCTTCGAATGAAACTTTACACACATACTTTTCGGGAGCCGACCCTTTTCACCATTTGATTTGATTGAAATTGGACGTCTATTTCTTGTAGCTGTGATATAAACTTAACAATCGGATATGAGGTTTCTCCGTTTTTAATAAAGGTATTCAAATGGAATTTGGTGTATACAGTACTGATATTTGCAAAAGACAACGTACAAAATTATTTTCAAATGGGTTTAAATCTAAATATAGCTTCCATATAAGTCTCTCGATTAAGACACATATTTTTCTTAGAAAAACTTTTTTATTTTATAAATAGGTTTAATATTTTATTTGAAGTACATACATATTATGTACTTTAAATTTAAAATTTACGTATCTTTTATAAAATGCAATATGAAGTTATTCCAACAAAAAACGTTTCGTCCCACTTTTGAGAATTTATTAAAAAGAAATACAATGAATACAAAAATTTATAGTGGGGCCCCCTAAATTCGGGGGCCCGAAAGCGTTGCTTCCAGTTGCTTCCCTGTAGTTACGCCACTGACTATGTTATTCTTATAACAAAGGCTATTTGGATATACGTTTGAAATATCTTTATTAAGTCGATATTAAAAAATATATCGAAAATCCATCTATTTAGCACATGCAATCATTTACTAAATCAGTTAAGCTACATATTGAAAATGTTGAATTGGAAATTGCTACAAATGTAACTACAAAGAGAAACCCTTCATTCTATTATACAAGCAATCAATGCCCAACTTAACTCATATGGGTGAATAAATGTGTCATTTTGATCAAACATTTTTGAAAAAAATCTTTGCATAAATAATTTAAATGTTAAAGCCTTAAAATTTGTTATAATCATAACATATTCAAGTGAAGCTGATACAATGGATTCTCGGTATAACAAAATATATAATATCAAGGCCTTTTTTTCATTTAAATGCAGTACTATGCAACATAACGATATCAGAAAAATTTTTTTGGGGAATGTTTATAATATGTTATACAAGTATTATACAAGAATATTAATGAAACCATTACTAAGAGCGATCAAAGCATTTAAATAAATTGTTGCTGTTTCATTATATTGAGTGCATACAACTTGTGTCTTTTATTTGGTAATAGATAAAAATGCAATTAGAAATCACATTAACTTCAACCTTAATTCCATACAAATATTGTACAAATGTATTGATATGTTATAAAAAAAATAATGTTTTGAAAAAGAAAAAAATTAATTTGTTTGCATTAACAATTTGTTTAAAGGCCAATTTTCAAATTTTAATCAAAATTAGTTGATTATATTTATATGTACATAAATAAAAATAAGTATGTACATATATATATGTAGATACTGTGTATATGTGTATACAAAGCAATTATTGTTTATATTTGGCCACTTAAAATGTTTTTGTTGTTTATTAGGTTTGTAATTTAAATAAATAGAGCATAAAAAAAAATCAAACAGAAATGACACTTCTCCTTTCTTTTCGTGCCCGAGAACTATAAATTTTAACAAAACCCAATGTACTTTTCCCACAATTTTCATAACATTCACACAACAATTGAACGAATGAGTAAATTCTCTCACAGACGATTTTTGCTCTCACTCACCTGAGAAATTCTCACAGTTTTCGCAGACAACTTATTTGTATTTACACTTTTCTTCATTTGAAAAATGATTAAATTTTCGTCTCTGATTTAAAAATTTTGAAGAAAGCATATATTTTCCTGAAATCTATTTGACGGTCAGTTTGTGAAAATATTTCGAAACGTTAATAGCGGGAACTTATATTGAAAAAAGTTCGAGTGTGATGTGCGAAATATATTCGAATTTTGTTTTCTAAAATTATTTAGATAAATAAAAAAGTATATATTGAAATATAAGAACGAAATATATTTATTGTATAAAAATATATTGAAATAATTATTTCCCGATTAAAACAACAAATAAATAATCTTTAACAACCACCAACAAAATAAATAGTTTTTAATTCTTAAGGGCATGTTCTCTTATCCGGTGTTGGCGCAACTTGGCGCAAACTATAAAATAATAATATTTATTTAAAAATAGATACAAATGCAGCCATCGAATTAACCTTAACCTTTCGTTGATGTCTTCGAAAAACAAAAAAAATATGCACAAAAACAAAAACAAAAAAGTTGAAGAAACAAATTGATCAGATACAATCGTAAACTATTTGAAATTTTTGCAAATCAAGAGTCATAATGAAAATAAAATTATTAAATTGAATAAATTTACATCGAATTTATTTGATTTAAATTTAATTTAGTCCATGTTCATTTAAAAAAATTTCTTAATTTTTTGTCGTTTTGTTTCTCAAAATTTACTTAGTTTTGCTTAAAGAATTTGCGTTGCTTGAAAAAAAAAAAAATTTTAAAAAATAATAATAATAATAATAAATAAACATTTTATCCCATAAGTTTGTCTGTGGGCGTTACCTTGGCAGCAGCGTCTGCGGTTTTCTTACAGTACAAAATTAAGCAAAAATTTTGTTTATATGTATATAATTTATTTTTATTCATTGTTCAAATAATGAACTTCATTTACTATTGATATATATTGTGAGTTACTGTTACTTGTAAAGAAAAAAATCCAAATCAGAAAGATCAATTTTAATAATATATAAGACTTTCGTATCTAATCCAGAGTAACCGGAGGATACTTATCATTTAGTTTGTATAAATGCTAAAAAAAATTTCTTGGACAAAGAAAAGATAAATTTTGTGTAAGAGATTTTTTTTTGATAATTTTTTTGTCAATTCCCAAAATTTTATTAATATTTTTTGTGGAAGCCCAGTGGTGACAAATCAATGATTTTGGTGGTCAATTGAAATCATCAAAACGTGAAATTACACGAATAAAGTCACAACAGGACGTGCTCTTCCATTTCCACTATCATGTATATGCCACTTCATACCGTGACTTGCAACAGTTTTTCGATAGATACATATGGACTTTCACTGTCAACTATGGCATATCCATCAAGCGAAAACTGAGCTTCATAACTGAAAAAAATTCAGTGCGAAAAAATACCACAATTTTTGTAAAAAGCTATAGCCATTTTAGCATGTTCAGTGCTTGCCAAACGATCCATTTTAAAAAATGAGAACCTTCAACTAATGTGTGGAGCAGCGGCCGATCCGTTTACATGAACACGGTTACCTGCTAAATTCTAGTTATAGTTGTTGTAGTTTGTTTTCGAATTTGATACGAATTTGTTCGATGATGTGTTTGAATATACTGGTGATGAGCTGAGGGCATGGGTCTATTCCCACTGAGCTATAAGCCCATGAGTTTGACGGAACGTTCAGTCAGGTAACTGGCGACGGAATGCCTGAACATGAAATTATGAAACAAATATATGAAGCGTTGGATGACAGTTTTGTTTGACATATTCTCTAACAGTGGTGCCAAGTAATGTCGACGTAATTGATAATCTTTTTTAAATATTTATTTGCCTTATTAAGTTATTTTCTTAAACAATTATTTCATTACTTTGACAAAGGAATCCACTC